GGGGGGGGGAGAGCCAGCCACCCAAAAAGAAAACCCAGCTTCGAGCCGTCACCCTCCGCCACGAAAGAAGAGAAGGGGGATCGAGACTAAGAGAAAAAAGAAGAAGAAGAAAAAAAAGGAGCTCGGCTCGTCCAGCCCTTCTGCGGCAACAGGAGCAGGCAGCGAACCCGGTGGATTTTTTTTTTTTTTTGCCCCTTCTTCGGCGTTCTTTTTCCAGCGCAAGGACTTCCACTCAGGAAAAAAAAACCAAAACCAAACCAAAACAACAAACAAAACAAACCTGCAGAGACCGAACACAAAAAAAGCAAGACTAATAATGAACAATCTCGTTAATCCGCTGTCCCGAGGGCTGGGGATGTGCCCCGGCTCGGGACGTTGTAGGCTGTAGAAGTTCTGCCTCTCCCCCATGTACTGTGCTGTCTAGAGCTTGTTTCCCCCCACCCTTTTTTTTTTTTTTTTTTTTTTGGTGCTTTATTGCTGTTATTGTTATTATCTTAATTTTTCTTCTTCATGATGTGCTGTTAGAAACCACTCCGGGACTACTCCAGCAGTAGGAAGACCGAGGAGTGGAGTGGATGAATATACCGATGAGAGATCCAGTAATCCCTGGGACAAGCATGGCTTATCATCCTTTTTTACCTCACCGGGCACCGGACTTTGCCATGAGCGCTGTGTTGGGACACCAGCCTCCCTTCTTCCCGGCTCTGGCTTTGCCTCCCAACGGGGCAGCCGCCCTCTCCCTTCCCGGGGCTCTGGCTAAACCCATCATGGATCAGTTAGTGGGGGCTGCAGAGACTGGTATCCCCTTTTCTTCCCTGGGTCACCAGGCAGCAGCCCATCTGAGGCCTTTAAAAACTCTGGAGCCAGAAGAAGAGGTGGAAGATGACCCGAAAGTGCATCTGGAAGCCAAAGAGCTTTGGGAACAATTCCATAAAAGAGGCACGGAGATGGTGATTACCAAATCGGGAAGGTAGGTCTGGGTCGGGGGTTCGTGGCTTTTTTTGTTTCTCCCCTTCTTCCCCAGCCCTCAGTCTCTGCACCCCACCTGGCTGCTCCAGAGAAAGGCTCTTTTGCGGACAAATTCCTCCGTAAAGCTCCTTTCACCTGGAATTATGGCAAGTTTTAGGCAGCTGAAGATCCGAGCCCACCTCGGGCACCAGGCTGCAGGGAAAGGCTCCACGGCTGAGCCGCCAACCGGCCCTGCTCAGCCCCTGCCTGCGCAGGGTCCCTTCGTGGTTCAGTAGCTTAACGCTTTCTGGAGAAGCCTGGTAGCAGAAAGAAAATCAGTTGGGGTTGGAAAAGGAGCTGGCCTGATTTCAGCCTTGCCACACGTAGTTTTTCTTCCTTGGGAAGGAGAAGGGGGAATAAAGGAAAAACTCTTGGGAGCGGCGTATGGCTGCTGGTGAGGCGGGAGCTGCAGGAGGGCAGATAGGCTCGGTTTATCGGTTGCTTGGCTTGTGCCTGGCTCTCCCCTGGGATCTAGGCGTGCATTTGCGCTGACTAATTGTATCTGGAAATGCACAAAAAGCTGACAAACCCACCCAGCGGTCCTGCTGGGGCGGCAGGGAGGGTTTTGCAGCTCCACGCTGCCCGTCCCTGTGTTTCCATAAGCTCGCGTGGGAATGAATGAACGCACACGGGGCGTCCACGCTCGGCGTTGCTGCTTCTTATAGGGTTACCCAGCCGAAATCCCTCTCTGCTTTCGCCACTCATTGACATCTCTGCTCTTTTCCATCTCGACCTATTGCTGGGACGACACGTAGGGAGAAAAACCCCTTCCCAGCCGGGTGTTTTTCTAAGGGACTCTCTTAGAAACCTCCCAAACAATTCGCCTGTAATTTGCCAGGAGAATTACTTGAGGAAGCCACTCCTGAAAAGTCTTCTTAGATGGCCTTCAGCTGCTTTGCTGGAGCTTCACCTCCTTGCAGAGCACCAGTTGCAGGCTACAGGCTCCGACAAAAAAAAACCCAACCCAACCAAACCGAAGAGCAGCAAGGAGGAAAAAAAGAAAAAAATCCCCTCGCCCATTTTACTGCTTTCCCGAAGTTTTCTCTGTTAATTGTGGTCAAAAGTTTTTGCGCGAAAGCCTCGGCGAGCATTAAGCGCTCTTACATGTTGCAAAGTCATGTGTTTCCTTTTAAGTTGAGATTGCTGAATGCCAACCGCTCGATATAATAAACAGCAAATTTGTGGTATCCTGTTGCAGTTTCGAGCTGGACTTAGGAGCGGAGGGGAGCGGGGTTTGCAGAGAGCCCTCTGCACGAAGGGGTTATCACCGGGGGAAGCCACGGCAGCCACCCTGCCCTCACTGCAGGGTTGGTTTTTTTTCTCCTCCTCTGCAAAGTGAAAAACTCCCCTCTCCGCTCCTCCTCGGCGGAGTGGGTTATAATAAAGCAGAATATTTATTTTATCGGGGTGCGAGCTGTTGCCGTCTCTTTGTTTAGCAGGCAAAAAGGAAATAAGGAGAGATCCGAGAGCCCCAAATCAGGCTTTGCTGTTGAGGAATGGCAGAGGGTAGGCGCCTGCTGATTTCGAGGGAACCCGAACCTCTCCCCTCCGCCTCCCATCCCAGGGACCATTTTTCTCCCGAAACTTTTAAGCGTTTGAGAAAGCTTTTCGCTGGGGGCGGGGGGAAGCCCGTTTGCTGGGGGGGGGACACACACGGCTTTTCTGCTTCTGAGCTGAAGCGATTGCTTGGTGGACGCGCTACTGAGGTTCAGGGGCTTGTTTAAACGCTGTAATTAATTTTATTTTCTTTTCGTCTTGTCTTTTCTTTATCCCACTCCCCCCCCTCTGCCCATAGGAGAATGTTTCCTCCATTTAAAGTGAGATGCACTGGACTGGATAAAAAGGCCAAGTACATTTTATTGATGGATATTGTGGCGGCTGATGATTGTAGGTACAAATTCCATAATTCCCGGTGGATGGTAGCCGGCAAAGCTGACCCTGAAATGCCAAAGAGAATGTACATCCACCCGGACAGCCCGGCCACCGGCGAACAATGGATGTCCAAAGTCGTCACCTTTCACAAGCTGAAGCTCACTAACAACATCTCTGACAAGCACGGATTTGTGAGTGCCTTTCCCACCTCCCTTTGCCCCCTCTTTGCCCTCCCTGCCTCCCTCCCTGCCTGGCCGGAGCGGCGGGG